AAAAAAAAAAAAAAAGAAACAGGGAAATGATGTAAAGGTGGGGATTGCTCTGCCCGTTCTCTGTGGCAGGGAGGATGGTAGATACAGATGTAGTTTATCCCTTAAACTTGTCGCTTTGCCTCCTTTCTGTTCCCACCGCCATTTTAAAAATTGTGGTAAAATACATATAAAATGTACTATTTTAACCACTTAAAAGTGTACAATTCTGCGGCATTAAGGACCTCCCTGATGTGCCACCATTGTCTCCATCTAGTTCTAGAACTTTCTCATCACCCCAAATGGAGACCCCGAACCCAGTAAGCAGTCACTCCCTTTCTTTCCTTTCTAAGCCAGGGCTCACAAAAGCAACAAGTCTTCACGGGCTGGAGACCCTAAGGCCATCCTGTTTAGTTGGCTACTCCGAGGACAGCATCACCCCGGTCCCTGTGACAGCAATCAGCTCTGGGAGAGCAAGGAACTCAGTGCGTTTGAACCGTGAGTTACTGGAACCACCCACGAAGTGTTTTTGGCCAAACAAGTGTGATTTTCACCGGGTTGATTTGGGACATGACCAAGTGGCTTCTCTCCTTCAAGCTAGTTTTCTCTCAGCGGCGCTTGCCGTAATCGAGGCGGCTCACCCACCCGCTTTAGACAGGCAGGGAGCTCGAACTGCAACATGACGCTCCGCTCTCCTATCATGGAGGCCCCTTTGACCAGAACTTTCCGTGGCACCCTTTCCTTTTCACAAGCGGGACAGGTGCCTGTAGATTCGAATCCCCACTCTCTCAGTTTACCTCTCCCAGCTGCACCACATGCCTCAGACGACTCTAGTTAAAGAGTCTTAGGGGGTAAGACCAGAGCCCACGGGAGAGTGAGCATCCTGAGTCACATTCACCTGGCCTGGGGAATGGCTGGCTCGGGGTCTTTTCCTGCCCCTGGGCACCGTGGTGGGTCATGGGGTCATTCTGCCCTCATACTTCCAGCATCTGCACTGGGCCACTCTAACTGGCTACCAGTCACCCAGGTGGAGTCACCCTGTCCTCCTTACCACCCTGGCTGGCCACCCTGCCCAACTACAGCTCCACCGGCCCAGTGCCCCAGGGCAGGGCCCCACCTCGTGTTCTGACATGCTAGTGGAGCACTGGATACCCGTGTCCACCGGGTTCCGCTCCACAAACTGCTCGGCCAGCTCGGGGTTGGGCGGGATGTCGATGTTCAGCTCCGCCTGGCGGTCGGAGAAGTTGCATTGTTTCCCGAACTCGCTTCGCTTCTTGACGTACACGTACACGATCTCCATGGTCCCGGCAGCTGCAGGGGGACAGAGGGAGGGTGTGCAGTAAGGGGCCCCACCTGGCTGCTTCCCCGTCCCCACGGGCCTCACCAGGGTTGGCTCCAGATTCCCAGTCTGGTGGAGGGGACGGGTCCTAGGGGATTTGTTCAGAAGCCACATCTGCATTAAAAAAAAATCATTTATTGAGTAATGACTACGTGCATTATCTGGTTCCGTTCTTGCATTTGCCCTCTGAGGTGGACAATAGCATCACCATTCTACTTTGGAGGAATCTCATACTTAGAGATGCTCTGAGTCCCCTGCCCAGGACCACATGGCTAATAAGGGGTCCAGCCACTCTGCCTGACTCCACGGCTCTTACTCACTAAATGATAGTGTTTACTGAGCTAATATGGTTATTGGGGCCAGGAAGAAATATTGAGGCGATTATGTTGGACTAAATCTCCTGCCACACACTGGACCTGGTCATACAGCACACGGATTTGAGAGCCCCAGGCCCCTCTGGAAACTCCCACCCAACCACCTGATTGTCCACAACTCCCTTCCCAGAGTTCTAGGTTACTGGACTCTACCCTCCACCATGCCCCGGGGGCCCCACTGGAGCCTCTTCCCTCTACATCACTCCAACCACGACGGGGCTGGGAGTCCTCCGGAGAAGGGGAGAGAGCCAGCCCACTTCCCAACAGGCAGAATAGTTGAGCCTTTGAAAGACTGGTCACAAAGGGTGCAGTGGGGAATTGGAAAGCAGGCTGGGCTGGGCGCTGACCTCAAGGTCTGGTCCTGCCGCTCCCTAGCTGCTTGACCGTGGCTAGACCACTCAGTCACTCCAACACCTGACGTACTCAGGCTGCAGCACTGCTGGAACGCAAGGCTCCGCCGCACGGATGCTAACCGGAAGTCTTCGAAACGCAGTGGGCAGTTCCCACAGATGGCTCTTCTCGTCACTGACCCCTGTCACACCAGGAGACTCTGTGGGGTCTGAGAGCTCCTTGGTGACTTCCATGGCTGGCCAGCTGATGAGTCTATAATACCGTACTGTGGAGGTAAGCACAGTCACCCTTTGTGGCCACACCTAACTCTTAGAAAGCGTGTCTTTGATCCAGGTTCCCCAGAGCTCAGACTGTGGGTCTGTGAGGCTCCTGGGACTGCAGCGAGCCCTTGGATGAGTGGGCGGGAGCCATGGGGAGGACAGCTGGACAAGAGCTTTGCCATGATCGGATTTACAACAGAAGGTCTTTGGTCACCCAGAGTTTAGGTTTTTGCCTGTGAGCAGGTGTTGCTAGCTTCGAACTGAATGGGGACCTTTGGGAAGGTACTTGGAGGACATGGGTCCTGCTTTCAGTAAAACCCACAGACAAATGTCCAAACTTAGGAAACAGATGAAAAATGCAAGAGATGCTAGGGGAGTCCCTCATTTTACCAAGCAACATTGTACTGGAGTTTTTGCCCAAGAATGCCCTCCGGGGCACTCAACATGAGTCTGTTTTTTTTTTTTTTTTTTTTAAAAAAAGCTAATTACACAGACTTTTCTAGGAATTTATAGGTTTTGTGAATGCCAGACTTCATGCCTTATATATAGTTCCCATTCTTTCACTTACTCATTCAGCAAACATTTACTTAAAGCTGAATAATCAAGAAGGCGTGGTACTGGCATAAGGATGGACATATGTATCAATGGAAAGGCATCGAGAGTTCAGAAATAAACCTTTATATTTATGGCCAACTGATTTTTGTAACAGGTACTAAGGCAGCTCAAAGGGGAAATGATGGTCTCTTCAACAAATGGTGCTGAGCCAACTGGGTGTTCACACGGGACAGAATGACATTGGACTCCCTACCTCACACCACACACACACAGATTAATGCAAAATGGATCGCAGGCCTTAACGTAAGAGCTAAAACTATAAAACTAAGGGGGAAGAACACAGAGGGAAATCTTCATGACCCTGATAGACCAGATTCCTTAGATAATGGCATCAGAAGTATGGTCCATAAAAGCAAACACAATAATAAATTGGACTTCATTCAAATTAAAAACTCTGCACCTCAAAAGATAACATTGGAGCTCAGTTGGTTAAGCCTCCCACTCTTGGTCTTGGCTCAGGTCTTGCTCTCTAGGTCGTGAGATTAAGTCCCGTGTTGGGTTGCACACTGGGCGTGGAGCCTGCTTAAGATTCTGTCTCTGCACCTCCCACTCCCACCTCACATACACATGCTCTCTCTCTCTCTCTCTAAAAAAAAAAAAAAAAAAACCCAAAAAACATAACATTAAGAAAATGAAAAGCCACAGACTTGGAGAAAATACCTGTAAATCATATCTGATAAAGGACTTGCATCCGGAATATATTGATATCTGCGGGTCCCGAGTGCTGTGAACAGCAGTTTGCAGGTACCCTCACTGCTTGCCCCCACAGCCCCCCAGATACAATTCTCATTTTGCATATGAAGAAACCAATGCCCAGAGAACTTAAACACCTTGTCAAAGGTCACAGTTCTTAAGTTGAGGCGGAGCCAGGGCCCAGGGCCGTCTGGCTCTAAGGCAGTGATTCTTAACCTTGGCTATAGGTTTAGAAACTCCTGGAGGGCTTTATAAAATCACAATGCTCAGGTTAAACTGCAGACAAATGAAATCAGAGTCTCTCCATGGGATGTTTCAAACTCCCTAGGTAACTCCAGCGTGCAGCCAGGGTTGAGAACCACCGACTTAAAGTGAGGGTTCTTAATCTCTCAGCCAGCATGTCTCAAACCTGGGATGTTCGTTTGCAATATGGAGATTCCCAGGTCCCCTCTTGCAAATGCTGACCCTGTGTCTGGGGCGGGGCCTGGCAATTTGTTTTTTCTCAATTTCCCCAGATGAATATTATGACCAGAGATGTGTCTAATCTGCCTCCCCTCACCTCCAAGGCTGCAAGGAACCCGACCAATGGGTCCTGGCTGCTGGCCCCTGCAATAGAGGGCCATGAGCTGTGCGACAACCCAGGAGCATGTGCCTGGGGTGGCCTTGGCCTTGGAGCAGCTGAGGCAGGGGTGAGGGGGTGAGGGTGGGAGGGTTAACTTCTAGGTCCCTTTACATCCACATCCATTGTTGCTCCAAGACAGCGCCGCCCAACCCACTCCCAGCCCCAGAATGGCTGGACCTGAACCAGACTTGCAGAAAACAGGATTTTCCCACTCTTCCTCACGGTTTGGAAACTCTCCTATACCAGGACAGGTAGAAGCGACGGCTTGGACAGCAGAGGGTGGGAAGAGAAACACGACTTGCAGGAGGTGGCCCTAATGTGTTCATTCTACATGGGCAAGTGTTGAAGGGCCACAGGGCGGCTCCGGGGTCCCCAGAGTCACGAGCCGCCTGGCTCTCCCTCTGTGAAAAGACAATTGCTGAAAAAGCCAGCTCTCTGGAGACACAAGGAGGTTTAAGAGCATGAGGAAACTCCAGGGGCACAAAAATAGCCTCTTTAGCCCAGATCATATTTTAAACAGCTTTGCTTTCCTTCTTGGTGCCTCCCAAGGCCAAGCCAGGAGCGAGAACAGAGGCATTGTTTTCTATCTGGAGGCAGACAGAGGGGACATTTAAAGGCTGGCCCCGTGACGGGAAGACAGCTCATTCAGGGACCCAGAGCGGGCTCTTTCTCACAAGCTGGCAGGACCCAAAGATGAATAGCGGGGTCAGCGTGGGGGTCTCAGGAGGTCTTTCCCCGCTTGTGAGACAAGCACCACTGGCTGGGCTTCCCCGGGCCCTGCTGTCTGTCTGCAAAGGGGGCTTCCGAGGGGGGTGGGGGCGGTATTGCTGCCCTTTGGGAGTTTGGGGAGGGGGCCCCCACCCGTGGGAACCTAGAGACCCAGGGGCAGGCAGCACTCTGCTGGGAGTCTCAAACACAAGAATGCACAGGGCTGGAGATGTGTGGGTCCGAACATCAAAACGAAGACTGTCTCCTATGTCCCAGGACAGTCGGATTGGAACCTTCACCAATTGTGCTCGTGTGCAATGACCTCTTGTGCAATGACCTCGAGCAAAGTGATTCCTGGCAAGAACCTCCCTGACTTAAGAGAAAGTGTGTTTTCCAAGCTTGGGGTGGGACTGAGGGAGGGGTGGCGCTGGGGAGCTAGCTCAGTTTGGGCGCTTAGTAGGGAGGCAAGAGGGGGGCGGCTGCTTTCCCTCCGTGCTGGACTCCACCTAACATAAACATGAGAACATTTTCCTCGTCCTCGTGGTCCCTGGGAGCCACCCCCCGTCTTTGCGCCTCTGTGTGACACCTGGCCGCCGGGCGGAGGAATGCAGGTGGAGAGCTTCCTTCCCTCTTTCTTATGTCTTTGTGCACCTTCTAGAATGTGGGGTCCTAAGGGACTCATTTACTTTCAAATGAGGCAGATCTCCCTAGGAATCCACCCGGCCCCCTACCAGGGCATCCTACCAGGGCAACGCGAGGCACACTGGGGTCAACCTGGGGTGAGCTCCAAGCACGTGGAGGATGAGGCCAGGCAGAGGTGGGAGGAGGTCCCCAGGACTGAAGGGTGCTGCGTTGATGTTTACGTGCTCTCCCCACTACAACACTGTCTCCTTGAGGGCAGACTATGGACTTTTCCCTCAGCCCTGTCCCCAGCGCCTGGTGTAGGAAAGAGCCCAACACTCCCTCTGTCCCGTGCCGAGTACCAGCCGGGTCCTGGCGTTCTCCCCTACAACTCTCTGCCCCCTCCTCTTCCATTTCTGATCAGAAAAACAAAGCACAGCTAGGTAAAGGTGTGAGAGGGGGAAGCACAGAGTCTAAAAGCCAATAATACACTTCTGTGGTTCCGGAGATTGTGATAAACTTTGAACGTGTTGCAGGAAGGTGAAACTAAATGTGTGACCTTGAGCATGGTATCCAATGGGCATAAGAATGTCCCCCTCGGGTTAAGGAGTAAATAAAGCCATGCATTTAGGAGAGCTGCCGCCTAGTCAGTGATCAATAATTATGAATTCCCTTCCCTCCCTTATCAGAAAGCCCACCTCCCGCTACTCCAGCCCAGATTGTACTTTCCAGCCAGCCAGCTGAGAACCCTTTAGAGGTCTCCCGCCCCTCCAGGAGACTGGTGGATCTGGACCAGACTGACTGGGAGCACGGGGTGTAGGAGGCTAGGCGACCAGAACCTGCAGGGTCCTGTGACTCAGAGTACCGAGGGCAACCCGGACGGATGGGGCGGGGACACTTGGCACCCACCGTCCGGTGGAGCTACCCCCGCAGGCTGCCCCCACGAGGAGCTTCTTGCGCCATCGCTGATTACTACCCTCGGGGGCTCCCCGTTTCACTCTCCTCTCCTCTTCAGCCTTCGACTCCTCCCGGCCCGCGCCCTTACCCTCGGTCTTTTCCTGTCGCCGCCAGGCCGCAAAGGAAGCACCTGAGCCCCAGCGCCCGACCCCAGCGCTTCTCAAACGGCTCAGACCCGGGGAGTTTACCTGTTGCCTAGCAACCCTGGCCGGGGCCGGGACGCGGGGCGGGGCGGAGGGCGCCCCGGAGCACGTGACCGCCCATCCCGCAGCATCCTGTGGGGGTCTCCCGGAGTTAGGAGAAAAATTAACCAAGTAAGTCAAACACCGGTGATAATAAACGTTTGTGGGATCTCTGCCGAGGTGCTTGTCCAAGTCTACAAAAAATGCATTGGGCAAGATCCTGAGAACATGCGAATTACTGTAGTAAGCGCTTCGGAAGTCCTGCGCCCAGGGTGGGATGCCCGGCTCTGCTATCTATTTGCCTGTGGTCTGGCAGGTTGTCTTACTGCTCCTTCCTTCGGGTTTCTCGTCCCACTCGATGGGAATTAAACCTCCCAGTCTCCCCTGTGCTACCCTATCCCCCGCACATTGTGTAAGAACCAAGGCTGACTACACACACAACCAGGACAGACACTCCTGGACAGCACGGGCTGGGTGTTTCCACAGCTTGGCTGGTGGTTGGCACATTGTAAACATGTATTAAGTGTTCACTGAGTGCATGAATGAATAAAATGAAGTTCCTCCTGGGGCTAAGGCAGTGAAGCAAGATAATATAAACTGGAAGCAGGGGATTGGGGGCTAGCACGCAGGGGTTTGAATCCCGGCTGGGTCATTTACTAATCATATGACTTCGGGAGAATTACTTTCCTTTTCTAAGACTCGACCTTGTTCATCTACAAAGTGGGGGTACAGTGACAAAATTGGGAGGCCCGACTGAGACAACGAGGCAGAATGCCCGGGCTGGTGCTGATAGCAGAGTCTGCACCCAAACATAAGCCAGCCCCGTACTTCCCAGCACAGAGAAGCAGGCTAACCAAGTTCAGGGATGGGCGCTGGAGATCTGGACTGGGGTAGATAGGAGACGTGTCAGCCAAAAAATGGGATTGGGGGTCAGAACTGGTCCTGGAAAATGGTGATGAGTTGCAAGGCAAGGAGTGGGGAGAGCATTCCAGATTGGGGGGAGGGCATGGTGTGTGGGAGGGAGGGGTGGTTGCAATGGAAAAAGACATTCTGGGGAGGGGGATGCATCATGGTGGTGGTAGCTGACAGTCCCTGTGGGGGAGAGAATGAAGGAGGAATTTGCAAAGGTCAGCTGGGGCCAGTTTGTGGTGGTGTGCCGAGAGGCAGGCTAAGGCACCTGGATTGCTTCCTGTGGGTTTTTGGAGCTGTGAAATCACAGGAAAGAAAGCAAATCTTCCCCCACTCTGGTTCCCCAACTTCTCCATAAATGTGTCTTCACCGCTACCCATCTGCCTTTAACTGGGCAGGTGCAACAAAATTCCCAAGATGGCACTTTGCCCAACCATACTAACAAGCCCCCAAAATGGCTGCCACCAGCCCCCCTTCCCCTTGGCTCCTGTTCCCACCTGTGCCTCCAAGCAAAGGGCTCTCTTGCGGTGGGCACTGAGGGCGGTGATGGGGGCTGGGTGCAGGAGGGTCTGAAAGCTCCACTGAACTGGCTCTGTGCAGTCAGAGGTGAATCAGACCCCAACAAAGCATCCAGAAGAAACAGATCGGCTCCACAGTGGAGCATTGGCTGGTTGGGACTGGAAACATAGACATCCTCCTCCCCCTCCCCCGAGCCCTGGAAAGCTAAGACCCTCCACACACACATTATTCCCTGGGTGGGGAAGTGGGGCAGTGGGTAGGGAAGAACAGGGAAATGGGAGAAGTTGAAGGCATCCTCCAACTACCTTTCTCATATTATTGCAATGATTTCTTTCTTCTTTTTTTTTTTATTCTTATGTTAATCCCCATACATTACATCATTAGTTCTAGATGAAGTGTTCCATGATTCATTGTTCGTGC